TCTTACAAACTAGATTAAATTAAATGGCATTTCGCAATTTTTATCTTATCATAAGAATTATAAATTATTAAAATTAAGATCGGAAGTTTCAAGCGTCTTGTACAATACAAAATATCTCAACGAAAATGATTACGCAAAATAAAAATATGAATTCGATTATAGAAACGATATTCGCGATATTGTATAGTATAGCAAAATCCTTAACAGATACACGAGATCCTGGATTCATGAGTAATAAACACAGGTAAAAAGCGTCGCGCTATCCTCCCATTTATTATTGCTTACAAACTAGACTAATTAAATATCATTCCGCAATTTTCATCTGAGGATTATAAATTATTAAAATTAATCGCGAAAGTTCCGAGCGTCTTGCATAATATAAAAAATATCTACAAAATCAATTACACAAAATATGGATTCGATTATGAAAACGATATTCGCTTTTCAAATACTGAATTCAACAAAGGATAAGGTTTTTACGTGTTGAGTTCGAAATATCACTCTATTTGGAAGGAGCGTGAATAAATGATCTGGCTGGGTGCGAGGAATTTTAATGGAAAACGCGAAAACGAACGCGCTTCGCACCGAGCCGACTTGTGTATCTCGCACGTAGTCAAAGTACGCTGTAACTTTCGATTGGATCCACAATTAATGACGAGTACCGTCGTCGTCGGCGCGTGTCCGCAAGCGTTGTTACCAGTTAGCAATTAATTACTCCGTCCCCGGCAAAAGGGAGACCCTGCCGTGGCGGGCGCTCTGTTAACGGCAATAATTAATCTGACCATCGATCCGCGCGATTGTTAATTGACGAACTCAACATTTTGCCGGTACTTTTGCATATGTTGTAACGTGCGCGCGTTCGCGTTTTCCGTTGGATTTATCCATATTTAATGCGCGACGAAATCTCGCGTAGAAATGCGCGAAATCGCTCGATCTCGATGAAATCGCAATGAGGGAAACATTCGAGCGTAAATACCCCTCGACCCGTTCGATGACTGTTCGGATTTCCGTTTGGCTTTTTCCTCGGCACTCGGCGGAGGTCCCCGTTATACGCGTTATATTCTGCATGCAATTCCGTTTATCCGGCCTCTCTTTCTTACGATTACGCACCGTATTCTGAGAAATTGTGGGATATAAAATTACAGCCGCGATTCTCTTCCGAAGAGGAAATCGATGGCTGACGTGCTCGTGGAGGCTAACGTTTTACAGGTTCCGAAGAATTGAGCTTCGAAGAGTGGGAATACGCCGGTTCTGCTTCAGCAGTTAATTAAAAAGTGTCAATCCTGCGAACTTATTAATTAAATGTTTATTTAAAAAAAAAAGCTCCATCAATTATTACAGGAATTTTCTGAAACGTTTCCACTGGCCGTTAATTAGGGCGTTACGCATAAATGATTAAAAAAGATAATAATCAAGATCGTGCCGGGAGTGCACTTATTATAGTATTAATGCGAGCCGCGTCGGTTTAATTATCAAGCTCGACCACTGTGACGGAGTTGACCCAGCGCGGTGGTGGCGGTGCGCGGCGCACGGCGGCGGCGGTGGCGGATGCGCGCGGGCACATCGGGGGAATTTTTAAATTTGATTCCTACGTCAGGCACGGGACTCTGACGGGCGCGCATTTAGAGCCACGTTTGTTTTTAAAGCCCCGGCAACAGCTTCGCCGCGTCGTAAAAAGAGGGAAGGAGGGACGGAATGACACTATGGCCCCGTGTAGCTTACTGCTTTTTACCACTCTCTCGCAATTCATTCCAGCACACGGAGAATGGCGACGTTGTTACGAAAAATCTTCACTCCGGTGGATAATGTTGTGAAACGTGAAAGCAAGAAATAACGTAACGCCGCCGCGTTTAACACACTTATAACAACGGTCGCGACGATAATCTCGAGGACGGACAATATTTTTCGAACGCATCCTTCAACACTATATGAATGCTCGGTATGTCAAACAAGGAGATATCCTTCATTTATAATTGATATACACCAAACATTCGGTGCTTGAAGGGATTGAATACACATCGGTAAATCGTAAATATTCGTATCAGCTCTGTTCGAGCTCTTTCGACATGTACGACATTCATATATATATATATATATATATACATACGACATACGGCGATTTATTTGCGTGCATCTTGCGCCCCGCAGAACGAGCGTCCGCTTAAAATACGAGCTCGGGCTGATTTACACGTATATCTCCGCTTTTAACCCCTCGGGTATTAGCGTCGCTCTCCTCCCTTTCTCTCTTTCTGTCCTCTCTTCTTTTTTTCTCTTTTTCCACTTCTCTTTTCGCTGATACGCGACAAATGCCCTCGCTTAATTTCGCCGTTTGCAAAAGAGATCCGGCACGTCCAACCAACGACGTGGTCTTATGACTTCAAACGGCGTAAGCGGGGATCGATATGGCGCAACGAAAATAGAACTTAGCGCAAGGAGAGTGAGACATACCGGTGCGATGCGGGATGCACCCGTGGATGTAATAAAGTCCGGTTGAAAAGTATCGTCCCTCGCACGGCGCGATAACCATCCCCCTGGGGCCGTAAAGGCGCTCTTTACGGGTTACTGAGAAATGTAAACTTGTGCATTATGAAAACGTGTGCATTGTGCGAGAGCGTATATAGAGTCCCGGGGATCCTCGGTGCGCGACGCGTCTTTGAGCACGTACGTAATGAAATCTTTCGGAACGACGGGCACAGAGTACCGACGAGCGAAAAATAAATAAAAAAAGAGAAAGTAGGGGGCAGGTGGGACAATGGGAGAACGCAACGTCGCTCGTCATTTCAATGGCGCGCGTTCGACGGCACCCGCGCCCGATCGATCACGGCAAAAATAGAGCGCGAAATTGATCGGTTCATTTTTAACATCGCTTTTATATTAACTCCCAATTGCACAAATTATATCGTACTATTATGTAATTGAATCTGTTTACGGAGTTTACGGATATACGATTAAGTTTCATCCGTATTAACTCGCTTTTGAAGGCTTCAGCAGCTCCAGCGGAGAATTTTATTCTCTCTCTCTCTCTCTCTCTCTCTGTTATCCTGTGTTATTGTTGTTAATACAAACTCAGGTCAGCGTATGCGCAAGCAACCTCGGATTGCTCTATCCATCCGCTCGACTTCATGGTAAATCTTGGAAGCGTCGAATAATGCATAAAGGCCGCAGTGTTATACAGCATGCGGGAGCGAGTGCTTGTGAGAGTGAGTGCCGTTCGTAAATATTAAAACACGTACATACTATCTATTGCCGAGAATTTACGAGTTCCGGTACTTCGACAGAAGGAATATTTGCGAGCGAAAAATAACGTTCGTTTCTCCGTAGGGAGAAGTATGCCGTGTGCGCGGCGCGCGCGAAGTGCAGAGAGAGAGAGAGAGAGAGAGAGAAAGGGCGGGGACGAGAGACCTAATATCTCGAGGGATTTTCAAGGCGAACGAACCGGCGACTTATACACGTACGAGAAGAAGAAAAAAAGCAATAAGAACATTAGTGACGTAGAAAGCTACATTATTATCGCGGGCAGCTTTTAGCGTAATTCGTCATGGCGCGCATTTGCGGCATTATGAACGTGTCAGGAGAGCTGAATACTAATGCGCGGGACCTCGGTCTACGTCCGCCCCTCTTCACGTCAACAAGCCGGAAAAGACGATGCGGACGAGACGACTAAAATGTAAGAAAGACGGGCCCGCGAGTTTCTTTTCCGCGCGACGCGATGAATAAATTAGATATATCAGAGTGCCGTCGCGCGCTCGCGACGTAATCGTCGCTAAATACGTACCCTCTATCGAACGCGTATTTTAAAGAATAACGTCCAAACGTCGGTTGCGTACACGATGGATTATCTTAGTTTCTTATCGCACGCAAGCTTCCGTCAACTCGTATATCCTTCGTCACGCAATTTGAAGGAACATAAATTAATACATACAGCCGTCCGTTCTAATCATAAATTTCTAAAAGGCTTTCCAGCGGCGAAACTAACGATTGCCACTCACGTTTTCGACTCTTATCACACAACGTGTCCCCGCCGAATACAAAATCGAGCCGCATTCTGTCTACAGAATGTTCAACTTGTTGACCCACTTGGGAGATTTACTCGTGCCATCGCAGTTCTGCAATTCACATTCGACAGTCCGTCCAATCTCTCTCTCTCTCTCTCTCCCTCCGTTCGATCATGCGTCTTCATTCGAACATTCGGAATCGACAATTCATCTATTGGCACCGGTTCGACAATTACCCCATTTATCGCGAAGGCCCGGCGAGAAAATTGACTTTTTCGTCCAAATGAAACGAAACTACTTCGCGAAAACAGGGTCAACGGCCAGTCCGCCAGTGTGCGCGAACTTTCTTGAAAAAAGATATATAAGAATGCAGAACGCTGAGCTCTTCCGAATGAACTTCTTCCGGAATTCTACGTTTTCCCGCCTAAAATTTAGCAACCGCCGCCCACGAAATACCGACACTCGTTTCGAGAGAGAATCAAAGTTCACTTTCATCTCCTACGCATGGCTTTTATTTCTCATATTGGCTTAATTTTGTATAATACACAACATTTAAATTGAATATTAAATAATAATCGGGTACGAGTCTTTGAAGATCATAAATTGGAAAATAATTGGAAAGTTATTTATGTAAGTCGAAAACATCGTTGGAATACCCTGAAAATTAAACGGAAATTTTATCGTCTACACTTCGTCGAAAGTATTAGACTCTCTTCTCGGAACTCGGAACAGACAGTCGATTTGCATCGATGCTTTTTATCGAGAAAAAAGACCTAATTCGAAATTGATCGAGGAGTATCCATAGCTGAAGGAAGAGACGCGGAACGTAAAAAACATAACGGACGTGTCAACATCAGAGGAGAATCGACTTTCAGCCGTGATTGCAAAACCCGACGGAGAGCGAAGCTTTTCCGCCCCGCGCAGGTTACGGGTTATATAAGAAATTGCGCAGTCATAGCCATACGCCGCGAGCCAGATCGAATGGCAGGAAACGCGAGAACTCACCTCAGCATGATGAAGCTGACGCCCGCACGGCGTTCACATGCGACGCGCGACTCTGCCGCCGATCCCTTCTGTCGTCGTCATTCACGTTCGGCGGGGGGCCGGCGAGTTCCCCCGCACGAAATGGGAGAAGAAACTAAAAACGCGCGGCGAACCGAGCCAAAGGGAGAGAAAAGCTCGCGAGACGCGCTCGAGACGCGATCACCATGCATTCACCCGCATTCACGGCGCGTTCTCGACTCTCACGGCGAAGCGCTCTCGTTTTTTACGCGAGCGCGCCGCGCCGCGCCGGCTGAACCGGCGCGCGACGATGCGCCCCGATCGTCGGGGGGCGGGAGGGGGGTTGGTTGGTACTTCTCGTTATCGGCGGAGACGAGAACGAGAAAGAGAGGAAAGAGAAAACGCGTGCGGCGGGGCGGCGTTGGGTGCTCCGCTTCTGCGGCGAAGGGCCAGCGGAGCCGGCGCGCGGCGCAACTTACCCCACTCGCGGCTCGAAGCTGACTGAACGCACCCCCGAGCGAGAAGGTTGCGGGTGGAGAATCCGGCGACGCGGGGCGCAGATCGGCAGCGACACGCGAGACCGCGACCTGTCGCGGATATCGCGTAGGGGAAGGGGGGACGCCCTTATCGGCCGGCGTCGGGGTGCGCTCTCTTATCCCGATGGCGTCGATAGGATGTGCGGAAGACAGCTATCTAAATCTCACGGGTTTGCAGGAGGATCCGCCGCGCCCGCGCCGTGAGACCGAGTTGTATATAGGAGCAAAGCTCGCGCGCGTTTCCCACTTTCGAGGATTTACGATAAAGTTGAAATCTCTTACACGCGCAGTTACGGAGCGGATCGCGCGCCGCGGTCTGGATTTCTTTATTTTAACATTGAGCCGGAAAACGGTTTAGACGGCGCGCTCGATACTTCTCTATCCCGAAAGTGATATACGGGGGATGTGATATCAAAGACGATCGTTCTTATCGAAGAAACTTTGAATAATAATGCAGCGATCTCTTCGCTTCTATACGCTTCACGAATAAAAATTACTTTTTGATTTGGAAAATTGTACAGGCTGTCTTGTGTTACTCGTTAAGGTTGGCAAACTTGGGTACTTCTCTTGTTACAATCAGGGGAGTACGTGCATATTATTATAAAGTCGATATCGTGAGAATATCAGTTACTAAATGCATTGCGTTATCGTTGATATGCAAATCTCTCGGCATGAATAAACCAACAGCGACGTGAGCTGACCGGCTTTTATAATTATCGTAACATGGAGAAATGTCTCGACATACGGGAACCTTTGCACAGTTCTAGTTGCGAACGATTAACGGGATACTGTTACCGTGTGGATTAACAGTCACCTTGGCCACGTTGCATGACGTTTTCGGAAAATCTAATAATTCGGTGATATTCCACGGAGCGCGACACGACGCGCGGCGACGCGTCTCGTATACTGGCTCTGCGTGACATTTGGCAGCGATTCAAAGGAATAAATTAAACGCTTTCCGAGAAAACGCACCAACGCACGATTTTCTGATTTTTGCTAAAAAGAATTTATTCGCTTTCAGCTCGTGCCCGGAGAGCTCGCGGAACTGCATATTTTATTTCCTTGGCACGGGAAAATCTCGCGCTTAGCGCGCGTGTTTACTTGCCAAAAGTTCGATCGAAGTTGAGGGCGAGCGGACCGAAAGAGACAGAGAGAGAGAGAGAGAGAGGTTCAACTTTTTACTTGTTCGCGCGGAAAATTTCGTGCGAGCTTGCAAATCGGACGTTTTGTGACCTAAAGAGGAAATACTTCGGACTAGAGTTCGCAAAGAGGGAACAGTTCGCAAGTGCGTACTGAATACTCGAATCTCTCTATTTTTATTTCATTTTTATGCTTGGATTTTTACTACATGTATAAAAAGAAATGCGTGATTTATGTAACGCGACAAAATCTTTTCCCCTGGCGTGAACAATGGCGCGTGAGGTATTAAACATTTTCGCGTCTCGCGCGTCTCGAAGAAAATATACGAGCCTCGAGCGTGCTCATCGCGCGAAAATAACATCGCGTGTAAATCCTCTTACGTCGCCTAAGCCCGAGCCCTTCCGTTCGAGAGAGCTTCCATGATGCCGTAAAACAACCGAATACTCGGCCTGCACCCCGGGTGGCATGGTTATCGCGAGAGCATGCCATCCGAACTTTCGCGCTCACACTCTCCGGGTTGAATCTCATTATCGTGCCTTGTCGAAGAGCACGATGAAATAGTGATATTACGCGTTTCTATATGTATAGCATGCAACAGCAGCAACAGCGGCAGCATAACTGCATCTTGGCGAGTTCTCTGCATAGTGCACTTTATACACCCATATTTCTCTCGACTACGACAGTAACTTGTCCCAGCTGAAAGAATTTTTTCGTACATGGTAATCGCGTATTCCCCTCGGTCGTGTAGCTTTGTACGAGCTTTCCGGGAGCTATACGTTCCCGTATATACGCGACGGGATTTTCCACAGCTTTTCCACGTAACAATCGTAGGTGTATATGTGCATACTTTAAGTAAATCGATCGGATGGTTCGACGTTACGTAGTTCGGCGAAATTTCACAATACCGACGACATAATATCGCGTTTCAGTATACCTAATAATCTCAATCTCTGTCAGCGCTCGTGAAAAAAACGCTATACTGTTGTCGCTATTGACAGAAAAAAATTGTTTTTTATTCAACTGTTTAGTGAAACGGAAGTAAGTATTGCTTTGCGTATAATGTTATACGATGCGTATTCCTATGTGTATTGATAACACGTTCGGAAACTTCGTTTCAATTTCGCTTCAATCGTATTGATATAGCCGGCACAATTTATGGACTATAGCGCAACGAGCGCGGAAACAATGCAGACAGATTGACTACGAATGAATGCCGGGTTCTTTGAAAATGCGAGAGAGATACGCAGCTTTTCACACGCAGTACGTTTTTTATTGACTCCCCTCGCACGATAATATTAACTTGGCGTGTCGACGGGGATATTTTGCGTATTTTGTCACGCTGAATCGAGAGGGCGGATTCATGATGCACGCGATAGCATTTAATATCATGGAGAATCCCAAGATTCTCCCATATATATATGTATATACATATATATATATATACATATATATACGCTCTTTCGGAAGACAAAACCGGGTCGGAGTAGTCGATTTGTCTGGTACTCGGGGCGAGATTAATAGCGACGCAGTCGGAGGTCGGAGGGAAGAAAGGACGCGCGCGCTCTCAGCTCTCCGAAACCGTCGGAGAAAGAATGTTCCGTTCTCACGGGGTGACCTATAACATTCTACTAGCGCGCGCCTGCAGGGAAGCGTGTGCTCCCATGACACCGGTAAATTAAAAAATCAAGAAGCATCCGAGGAAATGAAGAAACGGAGATACATACCCGAGGAATCTTCGACATTTCTCGGGGACGACAGATATATTAGCGGATTTAAGAAAAGAAAGCAAAAAGGAAGTCAACGGTGAAGGTTGGACTGGACGGACTTTACCGGATATATATTTTCTCCTCTCGCGCTTTTATAATTAGTCGGCGTCACTTTAAACTTATCTCTCCCTCACCCTTAATTAGCGCGAGGATACTAATTTTAATGGAGCTTATAGCTAGATAATCTCGTTTCCTCTCATCGCTTTTATCACGGTCGTAGCTTATCCGTTCTCACGATGCGATTTCACACCGGACGGAAAGGCATGTGCCCCCGAGCCGGCGCCGCCGCAGCCGCCTTCGGTCGGTGCAGGCGTTCATGTTTATCGCCAAGATTAACCTTCAGACAGGACGTGCGGTTGCACTAACGCGACGCGACGATGCTCCAAGGAGGCGATCTCTCTCTCTCTCTCTTTCCCCACCGCGTATAAAAACCGCCTCGTCTTATCCACGGCGATATAGGTTAAAGTGCATCATTTCCCAGGCGACGTAAAAACTTTAAACAGCATCTCGGCCGACTACGCGGTCGATTCCGCATCCCTTCTCGTTAATGCATCATTGATACGAAGACTCTGCGGAAGAATCTTATAGAATTTTACAAGTCTAGATATACGCTTAACATAACGCTCCTTACGTCGAACGAAATCGGCGTTATCTCTTTAAAATTGAAAGGCACTTAAAATCCTCGGGAAAGGAGAACTTAAAATAGAGATGAGATCTTATAGATCGTGATCTGTTTTTTTCATTCTCGCATCGGAAACCTTCGGTTTCTCGATCAGCGTCGAAAGAAGCGCCGTAAACGAAATAGTTGCTTGTCACGAGTCAGCTACACTCTTCTCTCAAATGAAGATAATGTAATTTTGTCCTTTTCGTCCAGCGTAGCTGATTTATAGCGTCCCTTAAGAATAGATTTTTGGAGACCTTCGATTCGAGACCTCCACCCACCACGGGCAATTCGATCATCCCGATACGCGCGGTTCAATTACGCGATGGCTGACCAAGGCGACACAATCGGGAGTTCGTTCGGAATTAGGGTCGCCCACCAGAGAGATCTATATTTAACGAGGACGCGGAAGACGGGGGAGCGTGATGGGGGTTCGCAACTCCGCTACGTGACTGCGCTAATCAACAACGGCTTCATAAATGTCGATTGATGCTAACGATGGCTATACTCCAAGGTAAGAAACTTTCGAATGTCTCGCGACGGTTCGGGCATGCGAATCAATTTCCGACACACAAAGTGCACGTTACATCGCAATTGCAATTTTACCCTGGTCACGTTTTTATCCTCGTAATAGATACGTTATATTATTAGCTACATGTTCACGTACCTATTTTTTTTATTTACGTTCGCGCACTTATTTTTTTTTTTTTTAATCGAAACGAAACGCCTTTCATACACGCATGTCGCTATATGAGAATGTTGATTTTCAAATTCGATTATTCCACAGTCCCCTCACGTATGCCGTATGAATATTTTATTTCGTATTTCATACACGTGTCGCGAGCGCAAGGCGCACGTTTTCGTGCGCGCCGACGGATTCAGCGTACAGCGGCGCTTATTCAGGCCGTGCAAACAGTTCGACTTACTATCTGCACGGCAC